TGAGAGAGAGAGAGAGAGAGAGATTTAGAGAGAGAGAGAGAGAGATTGAGAGAGAGAGATTTAGAGAGATTGAGAGAGAGAGATTTAGAGAGATTTAGAGAGATTTAGAGAGAGAGAGAGAGAGAGAGATTTAGAGAGAGGGAGAGAGAGAGAGACAGAGAGAGAGAGAGAGAGAGAGAGAGAGAGAGAGAGAGAGAGAGAGAGAGCGGGAATTGATGACATCAAAGGCAAAGTGCGGACAGGTTGCTTTTTCGTCTTCTTCTTCTCAAGGGAGCCGTCGCGGTGTTGATACGGCGGTGGTGGTGGCGGGAGAAGAAGGGGGAGGGGTTGTTCTTGTTGGGGTCGAGGCGAGACACGGGGGCGAAGCAGTGGCGGGTGGGTATGGGGTGGGTGCGGCGCGTAGCACAGCAGGGGGCTTGTGTACTTGCTGTCGCGTGGTGGGTATTAGGCGGTCTTGTGCTAGTGGCGCGCATTCGGCCCGAACTGGCCATACACGTGACGGGCTGGCTTGTTCCAGGTCGGTCGGACCCATTTGGCCGCCGTCTGTTCCCATATTCTGGAGATTCTAAATGACACGATACTTGAACTCATGACGTAGCTCACCAAACACTTGACTGTTGCGTCTCGCGTTCAGCGCCCCATCCATCTCGGCAAGCTCGTCTGGACTCTCTTGTAGAGTGTCCCTCTTGGGGCTGGGTTTGGGCTGACCCCGGTGCATGGCTGCTTCATCACGCTGACGCCTTTCTGTGGGCGCATTTTCTGGGTTGGACCATCAAGGGTGTCCTGCTGCAAGCATTTTGGTTGGCTCAGGTACGAGAGGACCAGGAGTCATTTGGATGAGGCAATCTCAGCATGTCACCTCATGGCTACGCGTGCCTTTGATGGTGGTGGTGTGTAGCTGGCATCGATTGCATTTGAGCTGGTGGAGCTGGCACTCGAGGACTATTTACCACTGTTACGTGAATGTCCGGACGATCGAGTTGGTCTTGTTGCGACCTTGGGGTTCCCAAAGAACAGTCCGTCACGCTCCTGATCTCGTGGGTGTCGGTCGACTCACACCGGTGCAACTACTGACCGACCTTGTAGTGGCTGCTTGATGTTGGACTGCTCAACACGCTTGGAATTTGTCTTGGCATATGGGGAATTGGCCCACATTTGAGGTGCGACATGGGTTCAGACTGCGCTACTCGGGTGAGCCAGCGCTCACCGACCAATCTGCTTCCCCTTGAATTCAGGCATGCGATCAACTTTCGCGCCTGGCCTCCAACAGGTCGTCGGCTAGTGGCCACGGGTGCCATCCTGCTTGTGGTATGTTGCGCGATGACCAACTCTTGGGCTCGCTGCATCACTGACCCAGGTCTCACCAGACACGACGCATGCGCTGGGCGCCGCAGTTGACCGTCGTGGATGTTTTGACCTTTTTTGTGGTGGAGCAAAAACTACAGATCCCCTTTGACAACTGGTGTGTCGCGTGAGCACCGTCTTCGCGCATCTGGTCTGACCCCGGGCATGAACGCTGGATTGACTGCGCACGTGATAACATGTTAGGTTATCGCACTTTCGCTTGCTGGAAAAGAGTATATGCGGTTGGTTCTTCTGCGACAACCTCTTCAGCTGGTGAGTGCCATGTTTTGCTCCCCCCCCCCTCCTTTGCCTCTTCTTCTTCTGCCAGAGTCATTCGCTGTGTTTGTCATAGGGCGGAGAGGCAGCCAGGTGTAGACTCCATGTGGAATAAAAGCACTGTGTTAGCTGCCGTTGGGCTGGGGCTTGAGGTCTTGCTTCTTCTGGTACCCAACTTGCCCACATCTCAGGTTCCAGCATAGATCTGCATACATTAGTGACACATGTCAATTATATGTACATGTACATAAAAGTGCTGCATAAAAGTGATAAGCATATTAGTCGAGACGCACAGACACACACAGACAAGAGGGCAGCCAAGCACTGGTCCAAAAATTTAAAAAGGCCGCTGGCCCTTTCTCACTATCAAGCTTTGCCATTACCCATCATCCTCTGAACAAAAAACTCAATATTCTCAAACTGCATTGTCAGTTCTATTGTCGGCGTAAAGTCAGTCGAGATTTGCCCTCCGCCTGGACCTGGGCCTTGGCAACGTCCAAAAGCGTGTAGTAGTCCACGGCGCCACTGGTCGCGGCCACGTAGAGTCTGCCAACATGGTCCGGCGACACATGGCTTGGGACCACCAAAGCATCTTGAGGCGCCGAGCGCAACTGCACCTCACCGCACAGCTCACCCTCGGCCCACACCCGGATCAGGCGGTCTTTGGCCCCCACCGTGACCATGTGCGTGGCATCCAGGAAGCCAAGGTATAGGATGGGCCCCGCGTGCAGTTCGCGCCGCTCGGAAAGATGCTGCATATCGGTCAACGTGAAGCAAGTGCCCGCGTCAGTGACAATCTCGATAGCTGGAGTTGTTTCGACCGTCGCTGCCAGAGGTGTCGTTCGCGTCACAAGGTGCTGGATGGTGGTTGTCGTTAGCTTGCATCCGGGCACGTGGAGTCGTCGCACCACCTGGCCATCACCCGTCAAGACGAAGACAAACCCCAGGTCGTCGGCTACCACTAGGTGGTCATTGCAATAAGTTAGGGCCACGAGCTGGCCCTGGCCTACCTGCATGCGATGAATTGTGCCAGCATGGCCCAAACGCATGAAGCAGACCCAGTTGTCCCAGCAGGCCACTGCAAAGTCGGGGCCATCCAAAGCCGTTGCATAGCAGCGGGCTGGGGCGGGGAGCTGGGCAATCTTGATACCCACCGCGCTTGTCGCATGCTCATCTGTCTCGTAAACCCAAACGCGCTGCTCCCCATCGGCCACAATCACTCTCTCCTGTAGAACCCAGGTGAGGTGACCCGAGCCAACCTGCACAACCTCACTTGCGCCAGGTCCACACGCTACAAGCTGACCCGTGGCAGCATGCGCAATCCAAGGCATGGCACGAAGCCAAGCTAATTGGCCCGGGCCACTGTGATTCATGGTATGGCGAGGCCCCGCGTGTGTAGCACGCTCCAAGTTCAAGACGTGCATATGGTTGTCCTCATCCACGGCCACAAAGCGGCGAGCGCCAATGCCAGCGGCCAGAATGGGAACCGTCCCCAGGCAGGTCTGGCCGCGAGTCTGAACGCCGGATCGATCAACTTCCATCAAACCCTGTGCGGTTGCCACCAGCAACACATCGTCTGCAAATGTCACCGCAAAGGCGGAGCTGCTGAGCGGAATTGTGCTGAGCTCGGTGCCCGTGGCCACGGACCACAGGCGCAACGTGCCGTCAATGCCAATCGAGGCAGCACAGTCGCAGTCTGCATCCAACGCACAGTCCAGCACCGCCCCTTGATGTCCCTCGAGGACGGTGGAGCCCGCATCCGTTTGTTGCGGCCGGTGCTTGATGTGTTCAAGGCGCAGCTCACCCGAGGTGGTGCCTGTCAAAACCACAGATTTGACGGCTGCCACGCAAGTGATGATGCTATCTTCTACGCGAATCTCGGTGGGTTGCAAGTGCATGGTTTGCGTGTTAAATTTGAAGACCCCATGGGCCTCAGCATAGGACAAGTTGCGAAAGCTTGCAAACGCCAGCGCGCGGATGGGCTCGGATGCATACTGTTGCTCGCGCAGGGCGAGCAGGGGTGTTCCCTGCGGGTCCACCCGATAAATCAACAGGGCAGCATTCTGAAGTGCGACGACCAGTTCGTCTCCGTGCGCGGCGAGAGACACCACCGGTGCCTCAAGATCGACACGGGCCAAAGCGTTCAACTTGGCATCGAGCAACTCCAGCCTGGGTTCGTGCTCATCAGCGCAGGCCACGAGCCAATCCCCTTGAGCTTCAAGCACGACCAAGCTGTGGACAGGGTTGCGGAAGACGTCTGCCTCCACCGCTACCCCATCAGTGGTCTGACAGGCGTCGTTCCTGGTGGAGGCTGTGTCCGTGGGCAGGTGAGGTCGCGCACAGCACAGGACCCGGCCACCGTAGGTACCCACGATACAATGGGTCTCGGCGATGGCCACGCAGCGACAATCGTAGCCCATGAGAAGTGGAAGCTGCTGGCCAAAGTGCTTTTCATGAACGGTCAAAGTGCCTGTCGCGTCGCCCACAATAAGAGCGTCGGCGGAGGTGGCCAGCGTATGCACGGGCTGCGATAGACGCGCTTTGGCCAGGGGGCTGACAGCATAGCTGCGCCTGGGGCGTGCTGCGCGGTCCCAAAAAAAGAGTTGGCGGTCCATGTCACAGGAGACGAGGACATTGGCACTGAGCCAGCAGAGGTGCTGGACCGAAGCCTGATGCCCGCCAAGGACCGTGGCTGCTGCGTCTTCTTGGCAGTTCCAGAGGTAGACATAGTGGTCCCAGCTCGCAATGGCCGTGGTGTCTGAACCAGGGCTAACCTCGAGCGCGGACACGGCGGCGTGCGCCTCGCGAAATTCGGGCTTGAGCTTGCGGCCAGAGGGATCAAAGGTGCGAACAGTACCAGACCAGTCGCCCACGACCAAGGTCTGGGAGCCCTGCGCAAAGCCCAAAGCCGAGATGCGCTTCGAGGCTTTGGCCAGGACGGCACAGCGTTCACCTGTTTGCCAATCCCACAAAGCGGCCTCACCATCAGCCCCAGCCGTGCACATCAGCGGTTCACCCTTGTGATTGGTCAAGAAGACGATCGCAGTGACCTGCGCCGAGTGTGCAGCAAGCGTGTGCAGGGGCTCAAGGGATTCAGCGCGACCAATCTCAACTGTACCATCGGCACGCCCAACGGCCGTGATCGGCACCCCCGCGTTGCTGTGGGTGCAAAGCACCGTGGGCCCGGCGGCCAACTGCTGCGTGCTGGCTGCGACCACCAGGGGGCTGGTCGTTGGGCACACGCCATGCACCTCGAGGTAGCGTCGCGCCGAAGCAAGCCCCGAGCCCTTTGATGCTGCGCTGGTCAGGGCAGTCATGGCCACCGCACGCCAGGGTCCCGCGTGGGCAGTTGGCGGGGTATTGAGCGCCACCTGCAAGACAGCATCGGGGTGGGCTCGAAGAATGGCATAGTGGTCCACGATAAAATCCAAAAGAGTGGCACAGGGTTTGCTTGCCGCCGCTGGCGCGAGTAGGGCGCGAGCAGCGTCCAGGCATTGGCTCTGTGCCAGACTCTGCACCAGCTCCAGGCGAAAGAAGAGCGCTTCGTGGGCGGCATGGTCGGCAGCATGGATGGTGTGGTGCAGGGCCTCGAGGAGCAGGGCGGGACTGGCGTCTACTTGGGCGCCCGCAGTCCAGATGGTCTCCAGGGCTTGGCGATAATAGCGCGCGAGGTTGCGGTGCGCTTGGCGAAGCTCGGGTGTCGTCAGCTTGTGATGCTTGGTCAAAATGGCACGCAAGCCGCCTGGTGGGATGCGCAAGACAGTGCCACCCACCGTGTCCACACCAAGCAGCGGCTCGAGCTGCGTTAGCATTTCAGCCACCACCAAGGTCGGGGCGCCCACGTGCTCGACGGCAAAGGCTTGCATGTCGTTGGGGGCCGTGCCGTTGGCCGAGACCAGCAGCACAGTGGCCAAGCATTTCAGCACTGCGGGAGCTTGTGGATGACCTTGTGCCAAGCGATGGAAGAGCTGGGCGTAGAGCCCGTCTAGTTGGCTCGGAAGGCGCTGAATTAGGTCGTCGAGGTTCTCGAAGCGACCCGCCAGCCGCAGCTCCTCGCAAGCTGCAAGTAAATACACGGGGCTGCTGGCACCGCGCTTGCTGAGAAGGCGTCCCATTTGGTTGCGGAAGGGAGTCTCATCGAGCTGCTTGCCATAGCGCTTCAACGTGCGGAACACAAGCTCGCGGCGGTCTGCGGCCGACAAGGGCCCAACGCGCACCTCCAGAACCACGGGGGGTCCGGTGCTGCCACTGCTGGCTAGACCGACGCCATATCGTGCCATGGATCGCTTGGCTGCGGTTAGCGTTGCACCGGCACGCAGCGCAACGACAAGCATGGCACGGGACGGCAGCGCCCCACCGAGAAGGTCGAGGAGTTCAGCCAGGGGACTGCTGCGTTCGCGGGCGGATTTTGAGCTACTTGTGCTTCCAGGCTGCGGCAAGCCGTCGAGCGCAAGAATCAGCTTGGTGTGGCCTGGTAGCATGCGAACGGCATGCCGGATGATGCTCTGCAAAGTCGAAGCCAGGAGGCGGCCCTGAAGAGGGCGATTGGATTCGGGCAGAAGGGAGGCCAGATCAAAGGCATCCACGAGGCGGTGGAGAAAGGCGGTGGCCACATCCAAAGGACGTTCCAGCCCGTGCTGGATGAGGGCAATAACGTTGCGGTCGGAGCAGCCCGGTTGACGGATGTACGACTGCAGACTCTTGGCCAGGACTAGGGTCTTGCCACTGGCTGCCTCACCGGACAGCAAGAGAATGGCCGGGTGCACGTGTGCTTGGTCGTTGGACAACAAGTCATCCTTCCACGTGTGAACGAGATGGTGCAACACCTTGTCCTGGCCCACCAAGCGGGCAGCCAGCTGGTGTAAGATGATGCGCTGCGTGCGCTCGGTACGGCTGAGCGGTCGCTGCTGACGAGCCACATCAGGGTCATCTCCTAGGTCGTCGTCAGAGCCCGAGTCGTCATCTGACCAGATGACACCCTCAGTCGAGTCGGCGTGGTCGACGACGTTGCTGCACTTGCCCGCAGCGGTGCTCGCGCCAGCCACCCGTTGGAGTTGCAGCCAAAGCTGACGCGTGGTTTGCAGAACAAATTCATCCAGGTCACCTGCCACCGGCATGCCGTCTCGCTCCACTGCAAACTACAAAAAGAGACGAAAAGGGCAAGACAGTACAAGGTAAACCGGTGAGTCCTTTCTTTTTCATATTTTCATTTATTTTTTTTGAAGTAAGCACCGAGCAAGTCCGGGACTCAGCCGCATCAACCAACCTGTGCATGGTAATCAAAAGTGGGGGCTCCCGTCGCTCGAATATGGCTCTTCAGTCGATGCAGGCTTTGAGCGGAGGCATTCAGGCCCGTGGCGTCAGACGCCGCTTCGTCCTGAACGCTAGCAAGAAGACTTTGTGGTACCTGACGCCGCATACGCAAGCCCAGCCGGGTCAAAATGAATCACATGAATGGTGTGTGGTTGAGCACGCAAGCACACGGCCAAAGCACGTCTGCTCAACAAGTGGAAGCTGAGCCACGAGGTGGTGGCAGGAGCATGTCGAGAAAGGGCCGTACCGAATCGATAAAAGAAGGGTGGCGCAAGGCAAACACAGCACCGGACGTGCGGGCTTGAGGGGCCAAGCAAGCAGCGTACATCTCAAGCTCAGTCACGGACAATCCCTTTGGAGCGTCACTGCCCATTGTTCACCAAACCGCCACCATGAGGACACGTGAGTGGTTCAACGAGTTGACTTTTCGAGGTGACAACAGTCTGCACTTGGCCAACAACAAAGGATAGGCGGATGGACTAGGAATAGGGAGCAAGCATCGGCGATGGCACGTACCAGAGCCAAGGGTGTGCGGCAAGCGTGCGCTCATCGTAGTCGGAGACCACATAGCCATAGCGCTCACCCAGGAGGCCCAAGAATAGGTGAGAGCTCGCAACCTGGGACAAGCATGTTGAGAGGGCCAAGCCCTGCTTGGCATCGTGCTCCGTCACACCCCATCGAAGGTCAATCTGATGATGGCAGAATCGAAACAAAGCCGTCAGCATCACGTCAGCATGCGTGCGCACACGCACATGTGGGTTGAGCGTGCGCCTGTGTGTCAGGGAAAGGACGGATGGGTACAAGAAGCATCGGCGAGGAGAGGAATGGCGCACCTCGTGCAGATGAACGCGAAGAGTGGCAGCACGCTTCTTGAGCTCTGGCACCACCAGTCGCACGAGGGCATCACGCTCGCCTTGCATGTCGCGAAACGTGCTGGAGATGAAGAGCTGCACCACCGGCCATTCCGCATTGGGTGGTCGCACCAGCCGGCAAAGCCCAGGGGGCAGCAGCCGAGGTCGGCTCGTCTCTTGTGTCGTGGTGTCTGTAGTACTCGGGTTGGGTTTGGTTTGCGCGCTGCGCCGCACAAAGCGAACAGGCTTGCGCTGGGCCATTCCAATGCTCGACTTGGTCTTTTTGGATTTAGGAAGGACATGTGGGCGCTGGGCCCGCTGATGCTCGGCGATGCGCTTGGCCACCTTCTCGTCAAGCTGATACTTGCGATCAATGGCCTCAACGTAACCCACAACGCTGGGCCCATCGCCGGCATCCGCCACGAAACGCAAGATGGCATCACTAAAGCCCGCCAAGAACACGTCTTGCGGATTGCCAGAACGGCCTACGGGAAAGTTCAAGCGCGAACAATTGTGAGCTCACAAACCAGAAGTCTACGCAAACATATCCATCCTCCCACCCTCGACTGCTTAAGATCAGAGACGAATGCGATGGCCACGAACTCTGCTGCATCTCCGTGCGCCGGGCACTCATATCAACATTAACAAAGAGCAACTTTGGGGACACAAACTTTCGAAAGCTACGCCCGCAACACAACCATGAGGTGAGGACGTGATCCTTGAGGACGTGATCCTTGAACATTTGCAAATACACGCAGGACATTAAAAAAAAAGCGGAAAAAAAAAAGAGCGCTGCTGACCGCTGAAGGAACTCGTTGAAATTGGCGCCAAGGACGCTGGTGCCAGTTAGATTGATAATGTTTTTGACGGGAATCTGGTGCACGATGAGGTTGACAAGCGCTGGGATGGGCAGTCCAAAGTGGGCCTGGCGTTGAGCGGCCGTCTCGGGTGACCCCACCATGTCGTCAAATTTAGCCTCGAGCTCGTGCAGGTAGTCGGCCACGGACAGGGTGCAGGCATCGGTGCCAAGATCATCGGGAACAAGAGGCACCAGGGTATTTGCGTCCAGGGCCGCCCAATCACCAGCTGCTGCCAGTTCGTTGTTACGCATGTCGTGTACCATTTGCACCAATTGTTGCGTGCCCTCGAGAATGTCCAGGCCAGCCGCATTGACGAGGCGCGGGAGTGTTGCATCCGACCACAGCAGAAACTGCACCATGAAATATCGAGAGCCATGATGTTAAATGAGTCGCAGCCAGGTCGCATGAACAGCAAAAAAGTACAACCCCCCCCCCCCCCCCCCCGGCAAAAAAAAAAAAAAAAAAAAAAAAACAAACAAAAAAAAAAAAAAAAAAAAAACAAAAAAGAAAAAAAGGGGGGGAAAAAATA